TCGATATATAGGCTCCTTCCACCTCTGCCGCCCTCCGCCAGCGGACTCCCGGAGCTCGGACGTGGTTTGGAGGTTCCCAACGAGTGCTCCTTCCAGTCACCCAAACAGGACCACCTGTCTGGCAGCTGCGATGCCTGGCCGATCACTACATTGACTCCCAGTCAACCACCCCTGGCCGTTTCTATGGCAGTCCTATGGCAGTCCGGAGTGTCTACAGATGTCTACAGGTCGTGTCTGGGTGATGGAAGAAGAGGACCTGAAACCAAAACCGCCACAGTCACACGTGAGACGCAGAGGGGTGGTTCTCCTCCGCATCTCAGCAGGCAAGTCGGACAAATCCCTTCACATCTACACTGCTTCAGATCTTCATCCCGACCAAGCACTGCCGAGCCTTGTGATCCAACAACAACCGGAGCACTTCCACATGTCCATGAAGAGCTCCCAGGTGCAAGGGCATGAGTCCAGTGTTGCTGCCCTTCTCCACCTCACCACCCAGCTCCAACAAGAGCTGCAAGGCCTGACCGGGTGCACTGAGCATCGGTCACACTGGTTGATTCGCGGGATCTCTTCCGGTGGTCCTGTACGATGCTCTGCTCTCCCGAACATACCAAAAACGCGATATACTCTACCACGTACTATAACAAGCCATCTATTAGAATCTGTAGCTGTGACAAAGTCATGCCTTTTCATCCATCCAAAAACCGCCAAGTTGGCAGAACATGGTCTTGGTATTTGTGATTTGGAAGATCCAGTGTACCAGAATCCACTGTCGGGGTGGTAGACATGAACACCCGTTTCATCACCTCTTTTCGGGGGCTATCAATAGAAGCCCCGTTCATACCCAACGTGTCCAGCGTATGGCCGTCTGTGCTTCCCGCTTCCCACTCTTCGTTCACGTCACCGCGAACCCACGCGGTGACCGGTCGGTCCAGGTGCCTCGATGCAGCCGTTCTGAGCTCCGAAGTGCAGCACCGTGGCGCCGGTGGAGGTCTTCTGGTGGACGGACGCCTGCGCCTGGACGAGAGAGTGCACGAACCAGCGGCACGGTAGCGCGGTGCGTGGCGGAGTTCGAGTCGTGGCACCGGTGGAAGTGAAGTGGAAGTCTCCTTCCATCTGGGAGCCCCGTTCGTAGCTTCTTGTTACTATAGTAGAAAGGCCAGGAGCTAGTAGCCTCCTTGCTCCTACGTAGTATGATCTGTTTGTTTTTACACAGCCTTTGACTATCGGATGATTCGTGGTTCTTTTCGTCAAACCGTTTTGGCCTTACACAGACTACGACAGTTTTCAGGGGGAGTTCTTTGATCTGCCTGGTACCCATCATTCTCTTTGCAACTGGACCACCCACCAGGCTCTGCACCGTCTTTCCTCGCTCTATTCGCGCGCGCGCGCGAAGCGTGGGGAGCGGGGCTCGAGCGCGTGACTCGCCTCCAACAACAAGCGCAAGCAGCGCACCTCGCCGTCGCCCGCCGCCAGGTGCAGTGGACATCGTCCGTACGGGTCCACCCTCGGTGTGTCGGCTGACCCCGATGGACGGCACGGGAGGTACTTCGACCTAGGGACTTCGGTGATAATAAGGTGTCTTGTCCACTGGGGGTGGAACTGCTCAACATGTCCAGGTTTTTGGAGATGAAGGGAAAGTTGAAGAAGGCTGAGTGAGAAAAACTGGGCGCTGCTCATCAATCTTTGCCTTACCAAAATCATTGAGGGTTTTCCCCTAAACCGCATGCTCCGTTTGAACTCAATAGGGATCTGCCGGATGCACACATCGCAACTCACCATTCCATCTCAAAGGGAATCTATTCCGTGGGGTCTCTGCTCCCCCGTTGCAAGTCCAGAAGTAACTGTTACTCCGCGGTACGTGAGGCTACCGTCGCCAGACAAAAATGACGTAAGACAGTGAGTCGATCACTCCGAGTCAACCCCAAGTTTTCCATTCAGCTCTGACTCTCTGCTGCGATGCCTATGGCCTGGCTGATGCCTATGGCTCTCTCTCTCTCTCTACCAGGACCTTCCCGTCCGGGGGTCTGTCTCAAACATCACTCAGTGGGCTGGGGCTTCCAGCCGACATGAAGCTGCTCTACCATACCGGTCAAACCTGGTCCCTGCGCCCGAGCCGAGCGGACCCCGCGCGGACGACCGAGCTACAGCCGCGGATTCGCCGGTTGTTGAAGCACGGCTTCCAGGCGCTCTGCCTGGACCGACCCGTCGCGTGTCGAATCCACGGCAGCGACGGCAGCACCGGACGCCGACGGGTACGGGGCGGCGACGCCTCCGAGGCTCCGCTGTTCAGGGAGGAAAAGCACCAAGAAAACTGAAGCCTCAGCTGCTTGTATCTGGTTCAAAAGAAGTATAAGTAGCAGTGTAAGCAGTATACCTGAAGTGTGAGGCAATGATGTCCAACGAAAATGATCGGTTGCTCCATGATTGTGACCACCCCACACACATGTCTTACGCAGGTCCTTTGTTGCTTCGTCTCCCCTTACGCAGGTCCGCCTGGCCACAGACCTCAAAGATTCCCATCTCATCGGCCAACTCGAGGATCAGCAGTTGCAGATCTCCGGGAAAGAACGACGTCAACGGCACCTCATCCTGTCCGCGTTTCGCACGCGTCTCGCCCGCCGTCCGTGGAGCTCGCCGGTTCGGCCGTTAACATGTTCCGCCGCCCCGAAGGCTCAGGCCGTTCGATCCAGGTCGGGCACCGAACAGCCGTTGGAAGTGGGAAACGTCCGGACATGACCGCGTTCGACCGGTGGCTGAGGGTGGCTTTTGGGGTGAGATCTGGTCAGGCTCTCAAAACAAAGCGATCTGGGATGAACGCCTTCCCCCAAACCGCTAACATTGGCTTTGAAGAACAGCTGCAGAAAAGACTTGAGATATCGTGTTCCATCGTATTCCATCCGGCCTCGGACTCCCCATCGGCCGAGTTGGAGGCCATGGCTAGCAGGTTGGAGGCGCCATCCCTATTAGGTTCCTTTGGCTACTAGGAGCAAAGGGCATCGCTGCTAGGGGCTCCTGGCCTTTACTAGGGGCTCCTTTTTGTTCATATGGAGGCCATCTGACAGTCCTGAAGCTCCCCGGACCCGCTCAGGATCCGTTGCCGGAACCGGGAGAAGTTGGGCGGCCGCGTCGAGAGGAAGTCCTGAACGCCCCCGGGTCCGCACCGGTGATCGAGCGCGATCCGGGCACGTCGTCTCTTCTTGGTTCAAGTCGGTGGAAAAACCCGGTGATCTCGCAGAATGCGGTGATCTGACGACTTGGTGACCTGGCGACCTGTTGACCTGCTCCATTCTGGGCTTGGACAAAAAACCTTCAGCCTCCAACCCTCAAAACCCCCCAAAAAGGAAGAAGGACCCTCCAATCCCTCCACTCTCCCACCCGCTCCCGTTCACTCCCTCACTCGCGCGTGGGTTGGGGCGAAGGGAACGCTGACGGAGCCGGACTCATCCGCTCCGCTCCTTCAAGGCCCTGACGCAGTCGCCGCTCTGCTCCACCAAACCATGGAGCTCCTCGGCGGTGTGCGGTCGACCGCGGGAGAGCTTGGGAGCGGAGAGCCCGCAGAGGCTGTGATGGGACTTGGAGAAGGCAAGGAGAAGGATGGATGAGAATGGGACACTTATAGGAGTATTCCCTAGGCTTTCAACAACCATTAATTTAATATAGGAAGGATTTTACATTACAAAAACCAGGTCAACCATTTTTTAAATGGTCTTGGAAGCCTAGGGATTCATTTTGAATTTTGGAGATGGACCTTTTGGGGCAAAGGCGCAGGCTCATTTGAGGGACCAATCCATTGATTTCCACTTGAAACAAAGACCTCGACCGGTCATCCGGTCAACCTCTTCCATGCCCCACGCGCTGTTCTTCCACGCCCGGTGGGACCGAATGTGAGACCCCCAATCGGGGAGCGATTGCGTCCCGATTCCTTCGCAAACTTTCCCAGGTATCTCTCAGGCTTCAAGGTCTCGTTTCAGGATCCTGTTTCAGGCTTCAAGGTTTCTCTCTGAATAGAGTTCCTGAAGGGGCGGCTCCCAGGTTCGGGTCTCCCCTCAAAAAATCCGAGCTTCTGGAAGTTCTCCCAACATCAGAGGTAAAGAGATGACATGTCGTGCTATCGTGATGTTTGTATACCTAGATCTTCCAACTATGCAACATGTCTGCCTTTTCATCTTATAGAAAAAAACATGCAGTCAAAAAGGCAGAATGATCTGCACAGGTTGAAGATCTACAATTAGGTTGACCTTTTCTAGACTGGTAAAGTACATGCAACCACATGATGTGTTGTGAAGCATTATGTTGTACACTTCCTCCATTGATAGAAGAGCCACGAACCACGAAGACTGCACCCCTCCCCACAAAAGAACACACCCGAACTCACCAATTCCATGTACATAAGACCTCGCCATCTATCCCCCGAACGCTTCCCCAATCGCCGTTCCAGCGCTCCCACGGCTCGGCCGCTCTCCTCGGCGTCCAGGGTGACGACTTCTCCCCCCGAGGCGGCCGAGCACACCCGCAGCATGGCGCGCCGCGCTGTGCCGCAGAGCGGTCAGGCTGGTTCCACAGCAGCGGAGAAGTGAACTCGATCAATGGCGCTTTGCATCATGGTGTAGGTTGGAAAAAAAGAGTATGGATTAGGGTAAATGGGTAGATCAGAAGAAAAGGACATTGAACCAACAAACATCGACTGTGAACCGGTAGGACTGATCTGATTGATCAGTCAAGACACGACTTGCTGGCTTCACCTTCACCGTCCTTTCCGAAACCATGAACTGGACAACTCAAAGTGGGAACAAAAGTGGGCAAATCGAGAATGAAACGATGTTTATGTCAGTGTGGACATCTGTGTCTCCTTTGTACTATCTTCTGCGAACCCCCCTGCGTTTTACAAAGCAAGGTCAACAGCGACCCCCAACAAGGGGATCTCCAACCGATGCCGAAAAGACTTCCCCACGCTCTCTACTCTGAACCACACCACGGTCCACCGCGACCCCCCACGGAGCCTCCGTCCAGCTGCTGTGCGACGCACCACCTGGATCACCAGCACGGCCACGTGCAGATCAAAGAAAATCCCCCTTTAGCAGAGGCCCGAAGGTAGTCCAAAGGCGACAAACATTTGGGACATTCGCCTTGGTCTTATAGTCATGGTGTTGGCAACCATTCCATTTCATCATGATGAGTCATCATGGTTTGGGGGCCATCATGATTCGACTCTCCGATCGATCCCCAGGCTCGGCTTAACCGGTGCGTTTCCGCCGCCCGAGAGCCAATGGCAAGACACAGAAATGCCCAAAGATGGCCAGTCTCAAAACCAACGAGACTTGAACTGCATGTTCCGAGAACAAAGAAACACTCCAGCTGGGTCACACCCTTTCCCTCTGCCGAGGTCCTGGGGCATCCTGTTTGGACTGCACGGACCAAAACGTCCGTGCAGATCTTCGTTCTGAGGCCCCAGACCTAGGTCCAACTCCCACCACCATGCCACGGCGTGTGCTTCCTGTGGCGGTCGGCGCGAGACGCCGACGCCGAAGGAGCCAATGGCATGGGCAGGACGGGACGAGCATCGACGCGCTTAGCCGCTAAGTCCTAGAGCGAGCGAAGACTTCAACTTCGGACCAGCACACTGACCCTTTTTCGGCAGGGATCCAGTCGTACCGAACCTCATACGCTGCGAGTGGAGCCTTCAACATTTGCATAACCAGTGTCGCCCCCACCTTCACCGTACTTACCTGAGAAGGTATGACTGGATACCTAGGGATAGAAGTCGTCCAGTGCAACGATAGGTTGGCTTTTGTCAAGGACATTCCCTTACTTTCGCATATATAACCACCTGGACCCTCCAAGGGGTGTCCAATGGAAGCCTATAGGTAGTGTGGGGTAGCCCATTGGACACCCCTTGGAGGGTCCAGGTGTGCCATTTCCCTTGGATTTCTTGGACGGCTCATCTTGACAAACATCGATCACTCCGAAAAATGCGGGAGTTGTGGCGTCACATACTGGAGTCCGTTCTCTCATGTGAAACAAGGAGATCGCCCCCGGAGGAGCCAGAAGACACGAGCTGCTCCACCCAGACCACCACCCTAGCCCTAGACCCTTACGCATGAATAAAGGCAGAACTGTTGCACAGTTGGAAGAAGGTATGGAGCGCTCGGTCCACTCAAATCTGGAGGGGTCCAACGGGTTTCGGACCAGCAATCCCACACCGTTGGAAGTCGCTGAGCAGTCGCCGAGTCTGAGGATCCTGCTCCACCACTGTGGACCTTTACCTGTGTCGCTCTTGCTTGAGGTGTCGATGGCCTCACGTCGCGTGAGTCGCAGCTGAGTCGCAGCTGACTCGAGTTGCGTGCATTCCGCACTCTGAGATGCTGCCGTCGTTCCCTAAAGCCTTTTTTGTTGACACTACCCTAAGCATCCGGGCCTTCAAACAAGAAGGGTTTGGTTCAGGTCGGACCCCGTTTGGGTTGGCAAGGTCGCGGCCTCATGCCAAGAGGTCAAGCGTAAGTACGGATTCTGACCCAGACGCTCCGTTCACAGCCCTTGGTCCCTCAAAACCTAGAGAAAAATACAGACCCCAGACTCCTCCATATGAGGGTCCGACCCCTCCATATGAGGGCCCAGGGTCGCGTCTGGGTAAGGTACAAAAACCAGTTCCACCCGTCTTTCTCTGTCAAACCTTAGCAAGGTGACACTAGGGCCTCGACAAATGGGCAAAGTCGATATCAAAGGCCTCCCAAGCGTTGGAGAGTTGCGTGAAGACCTGCCGAAAGCTGGCGCTTGGGCACGCTGCGAATTGCGCAGCAAAAAGAGATAAACCTGCAAGCCCAGTCTCAACCAGAAAGAGTTCTGGATGTTTCCCCATACGTAGTGCTTTCTCGGGCCACCCCCCGCCCAAACCCCCACTCACTTCGTTCGCCAAACACCACTCAGCTGGCGCCTTCTACGAAGGCTGGCTTTCGTTATATGTATATGGTCCTATGGTATATATTGTAATCATAATTAGACAATCGCATAGTCTGTCAAATAATGAGGTACAATATGTATCATGGTGCCTCGGCACGCCACCTTTTTGAAACCCAACAGGTTCCCTCATGCAATTTTCTTCAAAAAGGACATGCTTGTTCTCCCATGGTCTACAGTTGTGTGCAACAGCTCTGAAGCTAGTTGCAGAAATTCTGTTATGTATGACTCCATCGGAGACTCCATCAAGGCATCCGAAAGGCCTCCTCTGTGCAGTAAAGGAGCTCGACCCTCGTTACAGGCCGCTTTCAAGCGAGCGGGTGCCTCCATCCTATCCAGCCCTTCGACATGTTCAATTCCTCCGACTGTGTGCACCTGGAGTCTCAAAGTACCTCAAAAGTGTACAAGTCACTGTTTTATAGGGTCATGCCGTCATGCCCCATGTTCTAAGGTGATGGGTCAAGGCAGCTCAAGACATGGGAGACCTCCTTCTGTGTTCTCTGGAAGGTTCGGAAACAAGACCCGTCGACCCGCCCGAGAAAAGGAGTTTCCCTATGAAATCATTCGAGTCTTCCAAGAACTTCCAAGACCCTTTCAAAGAATGGGAAGGACCTGATTTCGTAGTCTAACATCGTAAAACAAGGGGCGGTGATGGGCGATGCTTTTTCGGGATTCAGCCCGGCTGGTCCATCAATGGTGGGCATTGAACTCCACACCCCCAGCCCGGCTCAGCCGGTGGGCCCCCACCGTCCGGCCTCGCCGCCTGGCGGCACGCGCTGGGCGACTGGTTTCGTGCGACTGGTGGTGGGGGATGAGAAAGTCAGGAGCCTCACAGTTCATTCCCTCTGCCCCCACTGTTGTAGCCCCAAAGTGAGGGGACTTCCATCATTCCATCATATTCCATCATATTCCATCCTTCCTAGTCCTTCCATCCTTCTTAGTCCTTCTTAGTCCTTCCTTCCTTCCTTCCTTCCTTCCTTTCCTCGCAGTCAGAACACCCCAAAGAACGTCCACTCGGTCGATCTGCTCTGTTCGCCCCGTGACAAACCAGGACGGGTGGAGTGATCATCGGGCGGGCTCCGGGCATTTGAGGCGACTTTCGGGGCTGAGGCAGTGCGAAGGGAGACATAGCGATTAACAGCTGATGATGGAGTCATGAAGGCTTTAAGACAGCTGATCATAGTTGATGCAACGAACCACACCGCACACCATACACATCCATACACCATACACTCCACACATACTCCATACACATCCATACACGGTTGGAGGCCATCGCTCTTAGGTTTCAGGACATCGCTCTTAAGCTGGCGGCCACTGCTATTAGGTTGGAGGCCATTGCTATTAGGTTGGAGGCAATCGCTAGTAGGTTTGAGGCCATCGCTATTTGGTTGGAGGCCATTGCTATTAGGTTGGAGGCCATCGCTAGTAGGTTTGAGGCCATCGCTATTTGGTTGGAGGCCATTGCTATTAGGTTGGAGGCCATCGCTAGTAGGTTTGAGGCCATCGCTATTAGTAAGGTTGGAGGCCATCGCTATTAGGTTGGAGGCCATTGCTAGTAGGTTGAGGCCATCGCTGTTGGGTTGGAGGCAATTGCTCTTGGGTTGGAGGCCATTGCTAGTGGGTTGGAGGCCATCGCCATTAGGTTGGAGGCCATTGCTATAAGGTTGGAGGCCATTGCTATAAGGTTGGAGGCCATTGCTAGTAGGTGTGGGCCATTGCTAGTAGGTTGGCGGCCATTGCTATTGGGTTGGAGGCCATTGCTATTGGGTTGGAGGCCATCGCTCTAGCAGGTTGGACGCCATCGCTATAGTAGGTTGGAGGCCATCGCTAGTAGGTTGGAGGCCATTGCTAGTGGGTTGGAGGCCATCGCAAGTAGGTTGGAGGCCATCGCAAGTAGGTTGGAGGCCATCGCAAG